CAACAGTCAGTGCGCGACAGTCGATCACTCGGGGCGGAGCTGAAGTTGTGTGAAGCCAGTCTTAGATACACGAATGTTGATGACGAAGAATTAACCTTTTTTTCTGTCATTTTGGATTGCCTGTTTTCCATCCATAGCCATCGGTTCTATTTCCACTCGCTTTATCCCCAGCATCGAAGCGCTTTTATTGAAACCCAACGATACTTTCACTATCACTTCCCAATCATCATTGCCGTCATTAACAGTCTCATTACCGTCGGCTTATTACCATCGCCCTCATGATGCCTCGCGAGCACAGCCCCCCCCCCCTCCCATCCCCCGGACTGACGGGCGCTGCACAGGCCATTGTTTACAAGAGAAAATTGGACCCCGGGATCGTGCGCCGAAGTTGTGCTGATGGAGTTTCCAGTTGTGACTCTTTTTTCTATATCTGGAAGAATTTTAAATGTTTTTTTTTCTTTCCTTTTTTATGTGTGTGGGGTGGGAGGAGGAAGGGGGATGAGGACAGAAATGGTGGGGTGGGGGGGAAGTCTCAATATCCGGTGGAGACACTTTGTGTGATGGGGAATATAGTGTACTGCGATTCTCTCTCTCTCTCTCTCTCTCTCTCTCTCTCTCTCTCTCTCTCTCTTTCATCTCTCTCTCTCTCTCTCTCTCCTCTTATACGAGTTATGTGGATTTTCAGATCGTGAATCGGATTCTGAATGTTGATGGAACTGTTAAACAAATCTCGTGGTGGCGTCTGCGATGCTGGGGGACATAATAATCACTGAACTAATAAGAGGACCGGGAACATTACCATTAAAACTATTGAACACTGAACACAAAGCGAATCAAAGCTAAGACTACGACCAAAAAAATACAACACGTAAATCCAGAAAAAAAAACATACGACCAAAAAACAGAAAAAAATACAAAACAACACAAACAACGATAATAATCATAAGAACAATAAAAAAATGACCACCGCTGCAAAAATAAAATAAACAAAAATAAAATAAACAAAAGACAAAACACAAACAACGATAATAATCATAACAATAATAACGAAAAAAAAAAATCGACCACCGCTGCCACCACGCAAACAACAGAAGCTGATAACGCGGGCCATTATGACGTCAGACAACAGTTTAAGCTTCCCATCAGAGAGCAGACACACTTCCCGATGGTCGAGAGGTCCTTCGTTTATTAAGCTGGAGGGCCATCGAGGGCCACTTGTAGCAACTTGGCTTGATGGGTATTTTGAGTCCTTAACCATCTATTAGGCCATCAGATTGTTTGGTAGGGAAAGGAGTTAGCTTTGTGCGCGCTCTCTCTTTCTTTCTCTTTATCTATCTATCTATCTATCTATCTATCTATCTATATATATTCTCGCTCTGTTTCTGTTTGTCTGTTTAGTTGTTTTTTCGTTTTTTTGTTCTCGGTCTCGTTCAATCTTTCTCTCTCTTTCGCTGTCTTATTTTCATTATCTTTCAATTTCTATCTATCTGTCTACCTTTCCACTTTTTTCACTCGTTCTCTCTCCCTCTCTCTCCCTTTTTTCTTCTCGTTCTTTCTGTCTCTCTAAATATCTATCTAATTCATCGCCTTTTTCGCTCTCTCTCTCTCTCTAAATATATATGGTTATGGTTTCCAATTAGCTTATGTTAATGTGAATTCATCTGTTATTTCCTCCCACCCCTTTTCTTATCCATTTCTTTCTTTTTGAAATATCAGTTTGTCATTGTGTAGTTCAACAACAGTCTAGACAAATGCTGACCTAATGAGTAAATGCATAATGATTCCAATGTTTATATCCACTTCATTCCTACTGACAATAGGCCTTCGAAACAGCCCTCCCTAGAATAAGCATTTCCAGCCGCCACAGCCTCAGCAAGTAACATCAACAGCAAGAACACCAACAGCAAAGACAGCAACAGCAAGAACAGCAACAGCAACAGCCATCATCAGAAGCATAAGCGCAGTAAAGCCACACAATGAGGTCGTTTACATTCCGAATCTCTGGCGCGCGACTCACAATGGCGGCAAGCTCTGGTGCGGGCGCGGGAATATTTCATTTTAAGATTCAGATTTTGATGGTAATGAATTGTTGCCATTTTCGGATCCACCTCATGACTGCGGGGATGGTCTGGGAGATTATGCAGGGATTCGCCGACTCGCTGTTCATGGTTATGCGTCGGTAATGAAAGCGCTTAAGACACGACTTTGAAATATTATAACCCCGCGGTATGGAGTGTCGAGATCAAAGCCCCTCCCTTTTTACATTTACGAATCGACACGCATACGTTGTTATCTTTTTTGTTTTATGTCTACTATAGATAACAACAAAATACGAATAATAAAAACCAGTCCATCATTTTTTTAAAAACCCAGTTCCACTCCCATTTGATCAATTCACCTGCAAAATAACTCGCAGCGGGAGAAGCCAAGTAGTTACTTCAGAGCACCATTCATTACGACCCCCGCGCTCTCTAAAAGTAAATAACAGACGTGACAGCTG